CAGACAGATGGATATTTTTTAGGGAAGAGAGGTAAGAAATAAAGACGTTCTCTCTGGCTTCAATTTACCCCCTGCTCCCCTGGCCGCTTCCCAAGAGTGGTTCCCACTCCTGACCTCTACTGCGCCTCAGCCCTGCTCCTGCTCGTAAAACCCCAGCAGAATCCAGTGTGAGCAGAGGTGAGAGGTGTGAGGCATGCCATTCCTGCTCCTCATCCTATCTAGCACCCTGGACACAGGAGATCACCTGTTACAGGCAGGGAGGTTGCAGATCTCGGATAAAAATCAACCCCTACAAGGGTGGTATGGAATTTACAAAGCTGGGAACAAACCAGGTTTGCATTACCAGATTTTTAGTTCAGGAATTGATGATTTCCCTTTAGAGGTGAGCTGTCCAGATGTTGTTATGGACCCTAGAGGAAGAGGGGTGAAGGCAAGGGCAAGGCCCCTACTGTGGCCGAGTCAGGCAGCCACAGAGCTGAGAAACTGCTTCCTCCCTGCCTGTACTTTTTCCTAATTCTTCCACCTTTGCCCAGAACTCCAAGAAATGCTCCTCTAAAAACATTCACTTTATAGTGAGCTATATGAAAAATAAGGTTTAATTCTGAATAAAAATAATACATAAAAACCCAGAGTAATTAATTTTCATTAAAAGTATTGATAATAACATACATTTACATTGCAGGGCCCCCTAGTGTATTTAAAGTGCTTTAATTTGCACAGATTACCTCAATAATGTTTGTAACTGCATATAGAATTCCAACTGATACTCATTTGCTGGATGTAAACTAGTGGTTTCTTAGATTTTTTTTTTTTTTCTCCTGCTAAAGAGATCAAAACACTCATGTTCCTCCTTCCTTCTAACAACCTTGAGGGGAGATGCATTGTCCCTGATCAGCCTACAGGATACAACAAGGTTTAACGGCAAATAGTTCTCAAAGTCTTTGATCAGAACAGAGTGCCTTCAAAGCCCACTGCCTAGACTGTAGATAAGATTAACACTGACCATTCAGAGAATCACAGTGGCTGAAGAAGAATGAAGTCTTGAAACCATCGCATGCTGGCAGGAAAACTTCCTACAGCTGCCCAGCCACAGGACCGGCCAGAGGCCTCTGTTCCACCTCTACCACTGTTGTGAGTCCCCGAACTCCAGGGAGCCCTCTCCATCTCAGGAAGCTCTGACCACTGGAAAAGTCTTTCTTAAACCTATTTACAACCTGGCCTCATATATTCTCACTCTCTGAGGCCACACAGAACAATTTAAACAGCTCTTCCAAATAACATTTGAATAAAAAGTTATCATAACCATTTACTGAGCATTTGCTATGTTCCAGGCAGCACGCTAAACCAATGTAATTCCACCTAACAACCCTGAAGTTGCTAGTGTTCTTCCCATTTTAGAGCTGAGAAATCTGAGACTCAGAGAGGCAGTTAAGTAATAGACTCACATAGTTTGAGATTCAAACTCCAAACCACCCTCAAACCCCACTCTCTATCTCTGCCCAAATTATGGTCCTCCAGCATCTTCTTTCCAGGGACTTGCCTCAGTCCCTTCAACTTCCTGTGACTCAGTCGAGGCCTCTCACCATTCTCCTTATTCCCTTTTGCATTCGACTCTCCAGATTCCCTCCTGTCCTCCGCAGTCCCTCCTCTCCCTTGCAGTCCTCAGCACTCCCCGCCTCCAGAACTCTTCTTGGACTCACTGCTGTCTAGGAGTCTATGCCACAGTTCACTTATCCTCCTCACCCACATCTGCAGAAGCTACCTGGGATCTCTAAGACTAGAGACTGCTCCTCTTCCACTTTCTCCCTATACCTTTCATCAGCTCCTACAATGACATTTTGTTTTCAGAATAAACGGGTCAATTATGTGTTTTGACCTATCAGACTACAAGACTTAGCATAAAGGCAGTATGTTTTGAGGCCTGACAGGTACAGGAAAACCAAGACACCAGAAGATTCATTAATTCAGCCAAAGTGATGCCACAGAGGCCGTATCACTGGCTCAAAGCTCTCCCTGACGGCCGTACTCCAACATTCCCTGGCCTGCCCTCCATGCCTCTTACCCACCTGATAGTAAGCACCAGCGGCATTGGCATCGCCATACGTGGAAAACTGATTGTAGCTGTAGTCATCCCCAGGCTTAGGCATCCAAGGGGCCCCACTTGAGCCTGCTGCCATCTTGAACTCTAAGGGGGCATTGGCTGCATCGTCCTGGAAGGCCGGCTCTGGTTCCGTGCCTGGAGGCAACTCTTCAGGGACAGTGGGAATGGGGTAAGGGTATGGCTCAACTCCAGGCGGCTCGGCCTTCTCAGGGAGGGAGAAAAAGTTCTCAGGGGCTACTTCCTCATCACTATCGTCCTCTTCCTGCGTGATCTGCTTCGTCACCTGCAGGGCAGCACTCTTGGCAGCAGCCTTGATAGCAGAGGGCGATGGAGTGGTGGTTGTGGTGCCCACAACAGGGGCGAGAGAAGAGGGCTTGGTCTTAGAAGCTTGTCTGGAGGGCTTAGTGTCAGAGGAGCCATCCGAGGGTTTCCGGGAGAAGGCATGGGGCAGGAGCAACCTGTTAGTCTCTTTCACAGTCAGGTTTTTAGGTTGGGGAAGCAAGGCGGACAAACCAGTCCCCTCACTGGATCCCTGGTGAGCCCAGGTTTAGGTAAGGAGGGAAGAAAGATGACAAGTGAGATGTTACGATACATACTACTGACATTAAGAACAAGCATTACAGATACGTGCTCTAGCCTAAAATCTTACCAGCCCTGTTTCCGTCTAACCTCGGCCCACTAACGTCATCCAAACTGGACTTGACTCCTCCTACCTCAGGCCATTCTGCTGTCCGCTTCTCCCAAGGTAAGATGTCATCCCTGTTTTCCTCATCCATCTCAACCCAGCTCCACTTCCCTCTGCCACAAAGCCTTCCCTGACTCTGATTTTTTTGCAAATATGATAAATACATTTGGCAAATACATCATCCTTCTTCGCAAAAAGCCCAGGGCTCTCTCCAGCTGATCACTGAACCTCTATGTCCTAAAGGTTCCTCTTAACATGGGATTACTCCCTGCTTCCTTTGGATTGCCACTCAAAGTCAAGAGCAAGCCTATGTCCAAAAAAGATATTCATACATACCGCCCAAAGTTCTCTCCCCCACCCAATAAAAGCCCTACAGACGGGGTATATTCAGCTTGCTTACGCCAGAGTCATGCATTTAACTTATCAATTTGTAAGCTAATTGGCTCAGCCTATCCAGTGTTCCTCAGCCCAACAAGAGTTGCTATTATTCATAAGAATCTCTGGGATTCTGCTTTCCATGTGCTACAGGTCCAGCTTGGCCTAACTGCAGGGCTGAGGGAGGTGTCAGTCTGAAAAAGGAGAATGGAATAAGGTCATTGTGTCACCGTCCTGGAGTACCCATGTACTTCAGCTCTCTCAGCCAAGAAATGCCCAGAATGAGTAAAATAAGACTTCTGAGTCAAGCAGGCCAGGCAGAACTGTTCATCCAGAAAATGGGCTCTTCTCCCTGCTGTCTGTGTTCACAGATTTGGGTCATTTCAGCCTGGTAGACCCCAGAGGCTCAGGTTCATAAAAAGCAGACTGAGGTGGCAGGTGGAGCACATCCTCAGGCTACCTTCAAAGTGTCTGACTTCTCAGATACATCTGGGATCATGGCTACATCCCTGTGCAGTGCTGGGTCCATACTCTGCCTTAACAGCTCAGAGTTTCTCTATGCACTCATCTCTTCCTACCATCTGGAAGACTGCTTTTTACTCCTGGGGTGTTAGCCAGTGTCCTCTCATCTCTTCAGTTGCCAGTCCACGTCCTCCAGGAAGCCATTCTGATAACAGAGAACAACTGGCTTCATTCAGTCTCAGCAAGTCAGTATCTTCCATGATTCCTCCTCCATCACCCACTACAAATATGGACACAATATCACTCTCACTAGTTATCTTTCTTTCACATGACTTTGTCCTTCTAACACCTCCCAGCCATGGAAGTGACACCTTAACAGAGTCAGGGGAAGGAGCACCTTCAGCATCATATACCTAAATCATGAGACAGCAACCTTATAAAGGCAGAACTGTTTTTGTTTTTTTGGCTGTGTTGGGTCTTCGTTGCTGCACGCCGGATTTCTCTAGTTGCGACAAACAGGGGCTACTCTTCGTTGTGGTGCACAGGTTTCTCACTGCGGTGACTTCTCTTGTTGCGGAGCACGGGCTCTAGGCGCGCGGGCCTCAGTAGTTGTGGCTCGCAGGCCCTAGAGTGCAGGCTCAGTAGTTGTGGTGCACGGGCTTAGCTGCTCCGCGGCATGTGGGATCTTCCGGGACCAGGGATGGAACCCGTGTCCCCTGCACTGGCAGGCAGATTCTTAACCACTACGCCGCCCCCAGGGAAGTCTCAAGGCAGAACTGCTTTTGCTCTTCCTGAGGCATATAATCAACATGAGGTCAGAGAGTGTATAAATCACCGAGTGTGGAACTGAACAGGAAGAAACTTCTGGGAGCCAGAATAAAGGCACGGGGACAAGGGGAAACAGGAAACAGCAGCAAGATCATCTCCCGACACTGTCTGGTTAAGGACTTCTGGTCTTGATGACAGAGCAGCAGCCAAATGCAGCAGGTAAGAGCTTGGACTCTACAGTCAGACTGCCTCAGTCTGAACCCCAGCTCTGTCCCCACTAGTGTCTGACCTTGGGCAAGTTCCTTAAGCTCTCGTTTTCCTTGTAGGTAACACAGGGATGATAATAACGCTATGACTTAGGCACTATTAGGAGGATTAAGTCAGTTAAACACTGGTACAGCACTTAGTGCCTGGTAAGTGCTATTTAAGTGTTTCTTTTCCAGGTTAAAAATGAGACAGGGAGAAGATGGATAATTTTAAAGTTCATATGTTCCATAACAACATTTTGACCAATCCATTTATTCTACCGTTCCTAAATAATCCTTTTACCTGAAACGTAATGAATCAAATTGAGTTCCAATTCATCTCCCTACCACGCCTGTCCTCTAGGAGAGACGCCAGTGCGCTGAAGCCAGGGAACAGCGAGGAGAGGGTAGAGAAGCACGAAGTCTGATGTTATCAGGAAAACAAAACTACACCCAAACAGGCAGTCGTCCAATATTTGCATTTGCTCTACGCCTGACCTGGAAATTTCCCATCCTTCAGGAAGCAATATGGGAAGAGAAGAAACGGCTTCTATTACATCACAAAGCTTACCTGAAGGACAGTTTTCTTCTTTGTGGGTTCATCTTCCTCGGAATCTGACTAAGAGAAAAAGAAATGGAATAAGGCCTCACTGTTTAAGGACAGTGGAGAAGCACCCACATTAAATGAAGCACAAATAAAGGACTGGACAACAGGGGCCATCATCCTGTCCGAGCCCCTCCTCTGTATGAGAGATGCACCCCCCCAGAGCCAGCCAAAAAGCAGAGCTTCCTTCCTGCTCTCAAACGGCTTCAGAGAACAAAGTATGCGTTGACCACCCCTGGTCACTCATTCCCATACCTCCAGACCTGTTGCACAGCCTTCTTAGCATCCATTTCTAGTCCTTTAAATTAAGACTACTTCCTCCCATTCAGTCTTTGGTGGAAAGAAAAAGCTACACCCATTCTTCTTCCTATAAATCTGTCCACTAGAAGATGAATGGGATTTGGCCCACAATCTCACCCAATCTCAGTTTCACTTCTAAAACCACTTATATAGACTACATAACCACAGGGCTGGGGAACTCCGGTGGGATTAAGTGGTATGTTAACTACTCTTCTATGAGGTATTAAAGGTCAAAGCCACTGGAGAAATCCATTCCCTCTCGAAGTATGATCTATTGTCTGCCAGACAGAGTTGTTTGTGTCCAGGAAGAAGGCGAGCAAATGATGACTGTGAGAATTTGGAGCAAGAAGGGAGCTCATCTGTGTTACTCCTCTGACTCATCAGGATTGTTTCTAATACAAGCTCTCACACTAAAAATGTCTAAACTTTTAGCTCAATACCAGTTCCTCAGCATCTCCAACTATCAGAAAGATGCAAGGCATATGAAGAGAAAGCTTTCACATTTTATTTTAAAAAATTAATATCCAAACTGAGAACCTTAAAAGTTTTCCATTTGTTCTTAGCACCTTGGTTTGGGGCATCTGTAAACAAAGGTGATTAGGCAAGAATCTAAGATCCTATTCATCTCCAAGATTCTAAAGAACTCAAATCCTCTGCCTGTCTTTCTCAACTGACCCTCATATCTCACAAGTTCCTTTTGGGTTTTTTTTTGTTTTTTTCTATTTTATTTTTATTTATTTATTTTTTTGGCCACACCACATGGCATGCGGGATCTTAGTTTCCCCACCAGGGATCGAACCTACGCCCTCTGCAGTGCAAGCACAGAGTCTTAACCACTGGACCGCCAGGGAAGTCCACAGGTTCCTTTTTGGATTTGTGTGCTACAAGGACTTTTTGATCATCATTACTCAGAACCTACTGTATGCAAGACACTGTGCCAGGCACCGTAGACAGAGCTTCCCAGCTGGTGTCCTATGGCTGGGTTATAGGTACTATGATGATACTGACCCACTCAGCCCACAGGGCATCAGGCAGGGCTTGGAGCAGGTAGAGTCCTGGGCCACTGGTTTCCAGAGGCACAGCCTGTACCACTTCCCCCACTGTGCTTCAAAGATTTTCTTGTGTGCCATGACATGAAAAAAGTCCCTGCCCTCAAGAAACTCACAGTCCAGTTAAAAAGAATGACAAGTACCCAAATAACTGTAATAAAGGCAGTAAAAAGATAAGGGCATCAAGTGTGGTTCCAACATCCCCTCAAAGAATTGGCTGATCCTCCAATTGCGCTTTCTTTCACGTAAGTCCCCCACCTTATTACTCCCTCTCCCCTACCTGAATCACTGACACCTCTCACTCTCCTGTCAGTTCCCGACTCGAAACTCCTAAAGTCTTTCTGAAGAAGCTCACCTTGCTCTTTTTCACTCTGTGTCCCTAAGTTATTTATTTGTCTGGGGTGGCAGCATGCTAACAATGATTCATTTGTGCTTGCTGTGTAAATGTTACATTTTTCACGTGCATATTCTTCCCTTTACTCTGACAGCCAAGGCCCTATCTTACAGTTCGATATTACCTCACAGTAGTCAGTACACAATGATTTTAATTACTAACTGCTGCCAATTGTAGTATTAAAAAAACCTGTTAAGAGAAATCTGTCTTGGACTTCCCTGGTGGCACAATGGTTAAGAGTCTACCTGCCAATGCAAGGGACATGGGTTCGAGCCCTGGTCCGGGAAGATCCCACATGCCGCAGAGCAACTAAACCCGTGCACCACAACTACTGAGCCTGCGCTCTACAGCCCGCAAGCCACAACTACTGAGCCCGTGTGCCACAACTACTGAAGCTCACGCGTCTACAGACCGTGCTCCCCAACAAAGAGAAGCCACCGCAATGAGAAGCCCACGCACCGCAACGAAGAGTAGCTCCCGCTCGCCGCAACTAGAGAAAGCCCGTGTGCAGCAATGAAGACCCAACACAGCCAAAGACAAATAAACAAAACAGGGCTTCCCTGGTGGCGCAGTGGTTGGGAGTCCGCCTGCCGATGCAGGGGACAGGGGTTCGTGCCCCAGTCCGGGAAGATCCCACATGCCGCGGAGCAGCTGGGCCTGTGAGCCACGGCCGCTGAGCCTGCGCGTCCGGAGCCTGTGCTCCGCAGCAGGAGAGGCCACAACAGTGAGAGGCCCGCGTACCACACAGAAAAAAATAAATAAATAAAATAATAATAATAAACAAAATAAATAAATATATATTTTAAAAAAGAGAAATCTGTCTTAGTGCTTAAATATGGGGGTAAGAGAAAGGGCAGTAAAGGGCAGGACAGTCATTTGCTGAGTAGCTACTATGTGTCAGGCAATTTATTCACAAGTTTTTATTCAATCCTGAATAAAATTTCAAGGTAGGCATTATTATCTCAACTTTACAGGTAAGGAAAATAAGGCTCAGAGAGGTTAAATAATTGCTAGTACACGGCAGAACTGGGACCTGAATCAGTTTAGGCTCCCATGCTTTTGCAGCAACACCTGTCATGTTTTTGCAGCTGAGCTGTGCAGACCTGAGATCCACACTGATCAGATCCCACATGATACAACCAAGAGTACAAGGCACAACATCAGAAATACAGGTTTGAATCTCAGCTTTGCCACTCATTGGCTGGGATGATCCCCAAAGAGCCATTTAACCCCCCAAGCCTCAGTTAGCAATAATACTTATCCATGTCACAACATTGTTCTAAAGACTGCATGAGCTACTATCCATGAAAATGTATATAAACTAAAATTCTTAACAGAGTTCAAGGATTACTATTCTCTCTGGTCTGCCAAGATGTCAAACACAACCGAAGAATAAGCCTTAAGCCCCAAACACCCAAGCATTTCTGACCTTTTCTCTGTTCCAAACTCCCACTGCCTCAGGGGCTACTGACCATTTCCCTTGTCTTCTGACTGTGAAGACTTTTCTCCTTTCCAGCAGACCACACAGAGCCACCTCACTATGGGGTATACAAGGTTTTCATTAAGTCCCCAGGCACGTTTAAACTTTAACATCTAAGGCAATACGTCCAATGGAAACAATCTGAAAATAAAATTTTATCAAGTTTAAGATGATTACGTTTATAAAATTGTACAAGCATATTTTTATTTTTCAGATCCTGTGACAAACAAAAAGTGGCTACTTTGAAAGTGTAGGCAAACTGTCCCACGGCTAATAGAATTGAAGGCCAGATCAGCTGTGCGAAGAAAATTCAATTTTTCCTTAAATGTCAGATTGTTTCCATTACACTGTCAACCTAAGTTTTTTTTTTTTCCAACCTAAGTTTAAAAGCGCGTGTGCGTACACACGCACACACACGCACACACGCACACACACACACACAAACTGTACAAAGACTTTAGGAACACCTTATTAATTCTGGATTTAGAGAACTGCTATGGCTACTCACAACCATCCTTCTTTGAACGTTTTGTACTAACCTAATGAACTCCATTATAAATCATCTCAAGATGGGCACAAAATATGACAGACTCCCTAAAACAGAACACTAAGACCCTCAAAAACATGTGCTGAGCCCCTAAACACTTCTTAAGTCATGACTATTCATCTTTGAGCGAGGGGTAAAAATAAATCTTTACCTCTTAAAGCTGGCAAACAGGACTCCGAGACATTCAGTAATCTACCCAGGGCCACAGAGGAAGTCCAGGGCCATTGGGAGGGTGAGGAAATAGAATGAGAACCACCTCTTGCCCCCTGAACTAACTTTAGCCAACTAAAGAGGTTGGAAACACAGGACTCACTGGTTCACTATGAAAAGAGGTCTACATGCCACTCAAAATACTTCTGGGCATGTGGGGGCCTGAATGAAAACTAACAGGAAGCGAAAGGAAAGCTCAGCAAGGAATTATCCAACTACCTCAAACAAAAAAATAAACTTCGGTTCAGAGTACCGAGAAGGAGGAGATAAATAAGCCAAAAGCTAAGAGATGTGCCACATATCCTCCAGTCACAGGGTAGGGGTTGGAGTCGGGGGGATACAGCCGTCTTGGAGCATTTAAAAGAAAAATTAATTCAGCTTCTATCAGGAACCAGCTAGAAGCAATGGGCTCAGCCTAAATACAGTATTTAACTAAGACACAAGAACTTCCTTGATGGTGAGAGGCACATGAGTATACTGGGTTTTTTCCCCCTTATCATGGTAAAACATATGTAACATAAAATTTATCATTTTAACCATTTGTAAATGTACAATTCAGTGGCAGTAAGTACATTCACAATATTGTATAACCATCACCACTATTTCCAGAACTTTTTCATCATCCCAAATAGAAACTCTGTACCTACTGAACAATAATTCCCTATTGCCCAGCCCCCAGTAACCTCTACTCTACTTTCTATCTCTGGACTTGCCTACTCTAGGTACCTCATATAAATGGAATCATACAATAGGTGTCCTTCTGTGTCTAGCTTATTTTACTTAGCATGATGTCTGCAAAGTCCATCCATGTTGTAGCATGTACCAGACTGCATTCCCTTTTAAGGCTGAATAATATTCCATTGCATGTATGTGCCACACTTTTGTTTATCCACTCATCTGTTGATAAGCTGGGCTGTTGCACTGTTGCCGCCTCTTGGCTGCTGGCTACTGGGAGTAGTGCTGCCGTGAACACTGGCGTACAAGTATCTGTGTGAGTCCGTTTTCAATTCTTTTCACCTAGGAGTGAAAATGCTGGATCACATGGTAATTCTAATAAACTTTTTGAGGACCTGCCAAACTGTTTTCCACAGGAGTATATTAAATGGAGGCTGTGGAGTCAATTCCTAGAGAATGCTAAAGACCAGCAAATGGTGATCTGAGTGCGTCTGTTTCATTAGACCCAGAAAGAAGGGTGATGCTAGAGATACGGGAGCACCCAGGGCTGGAAGAAGTACGCTGGGCCAGAACAGGCATTCCCGGGTTTTAGAGACACAAACCGGTTGTGTCTCTTAAGAAGAAAGTATTCTATTTCTTCTTGGCCTCATTAGAGCCTGAGCCTCAATGGCCACCACTGTCCTCTCTGTTCCAGCTGCCAAGAGTGACAAGACACACACATCCAGAGACTGCTGAGCAAGAACGGAAACAGACATTTTCCATTAAGCCAGGCCCAGTGGGATCTGCTAATCTATCAGAGCCTCATTCCCCGTGGCAGCCTCCCTCTTATCTTTCCAGGCTCTGGCTCTGACAGACTCCCTCTCCAAAAAAGCAATCACTAGTTGCCAGGGCCAGGAGCCAAGAAGAAAATCAGGGCCCAAGCACAGACTCTCCTACCCCCAGGCTCCAAACTCTAACCACTTCTACACTCCTCTCTGCTATTATCCCAATTAGCTAGATTCATCAACTTCTTTACCCTTTGGTCTCAAATATGTTCTTACATCTGCCCTTCAGTTAGGACATCATTTTCTCTCCCACTTTTGCACTGCTCATCGTATCACTTTCATAGTTCTGGTTGCTCAAGGTTCTTCTATCTTTTTGGTAGGCACTATGATAGAAAGGAACAGAACACACCCTGGGTACAAATACGACTTCTGCTACTCCCAAACTGTGTGATTTTAGCTCTGCTCTCTAAATTCCTATCTCCTCACCTGTAAACTAGGGGTAACACTTAGCTTACAGAGTCGCTGAAGTGCCCAGCACCATGTCGGACACTATGCAAGTGCCCCACAGGTGTTAGGGCGCTCCTCCTTCCCTTTCTATCTAGGGCTAAATCTTAGCTAAATCCACCGCAGTCAACTCTTATATTACTTGGTTAACAGAAATGAGCAAAATTAGTGAACTTGCAATCTCAGAGCTTCAAATCTTCCACTACCTGGGTAAACAATCTTAAAGGACGGGTAATACTAATCCAGATAACCCTAAAGTTTCTATTTGTGTTGTAATGCACATTATATGACAGAACACTCTTACAGCAAACTTATTCTTCTAATTTTGTTTTTTTGGTATCCTAATTTTAGAAGTCTGCATCCCCTAAGCCCGCAAAATCAACAATAAACCACTGTTCAGAAAAAGAACAGTAAGAAGAGAAAAGGAAAGGATGGTTCTCCATTTTACGGGTCATTCCTAATTCCTCACAGAAGTCAACAGCTGACTGAATTTGATTTTGCAGCGCACCTGGAGAGAGAAATTTGGTACCACCCTGTCGCCTGACTGCAGCGGACTGATGAGCTCACCCAAACCAATCATATCCTCTCCCCTGGAAAACCAGAACTGGGACTGAGACTGTAGGTCAATCTGAGCCAATCACTAAAAGGAAGAAACTAAAAACCAAGGAGGTATGGGTGGCCATCTTTCACCTGCAACAAAAGTTAAGAAGTGGAAACTGGTCTGCAGACAAGGAAGAATGAATCAAATGTGCAGAGAAGCTGTGTGGGTCTCCGACAGATCTCCAATTCCTGATTCCAGGCCCTTTCCAAGGTACCTCAGTATACTTATGACGCATTTCCATTTAAGCCAGCTAGGAGCAGTTTCTGATACTTGTAATCAATTAAATCTAATCCCCAATCTGCTCAGCCTCTGTATTCCCTAAATAAATGGCACCACTACCCTCCCAGCTGCCTGAGCCAAAAGGCAAGGGATCAGCCGTGAATCCTCTCCTTCACCCATGACACCCAATCAATTCCCTAGTCTTAAAACGTCTACCTCAGAAAAAGACCTGGAGCCTCCAGCTCTCTCCAGCCCCTGCTACTCCCTTATCCAGGCCGCCATCATCTTTCACTC